CCAAAGCATGTAGAATAATGGCCTTTTGAGCTCCATGTGGTGGTTTTGGGCCATTCTTTTACCTACTTTAGATTAGGTTAGACCTGAAGCCTGAACGAGGAAGCCTAAAGGCTGAACACTTTTGTCTTAGGTCGTCATTGTTTGGTGACACGTCAGGAAGGCAGCCCTGTAGAAGTCCGCACATCGACCCCCGTACCACCCCCCAACCCACATAGTGCCCAAAAAGGATGGTCGTGGTGTAATCTTCGAGCCTGAACTATATAAATCACACAAGAAACTTGCCACATAGCAGCCAGATGTCGCCCGAACGCCAAAATAATGGGTTTTAGATTGGAGGTTGGAAGTAAAAGGACAACAGCATGTCCAAAACATGACAGGACAATTACCCAAACCCACAAATGGCAAACACCTGACAAATAACCGTCAGAATCAATGATTCTTAATTGGGTTCCGAGCTTTCCAGGCCTAAGTTCCCTACAAGCTCGGCGTTCAGGGTTTATGTGGTTCCATGTTCCAACAGAAGTGGCAATTGTGTCTTATCCGTCCTCAATTGGCAACCCCTCCCATTTCATCTCAATAGAAGTCCCCTAACCTCCACACCCTAAGCCCTTGGACCTCAACTCATAACAGTGATTACATAAGCTCCATTTAGTTCCCAACCTGTCCTAAGGGTCCCTTTAAACCTAAACTTAAACCTAAACCCTAGGCCCTAAACCCTACACTAGGGGATCTAGTGTTCAGATCCTTTCGGGTTATGATTACGGATTCCCTACGAGAATGGGTTTTCAAGGAAACATTATTTATATGGAAAAATATGATTATTTTGATTTCAGGAAATTGCAATTTATGATTTTATTATGATTTCTAGGAACTCCAAAATTTCGTAACCCTCCGAGACCTACACTCTTCCCAGGCCCCTCGCAAAATCATTAAAAAATCATATTTTTTCATAAAAAATAAGTTTTTCATAAAAAAAATCATAATACATTCATAATTTTTTCATAAACACAATGTGTTTCTAGATTTTTCGGAATTTTAGAGGTTCCGGGTGTGCCCTCCCCGAGACCGACACCCAGGCACTTCCCAAAATCATTAAAAATCATAATTTTTTCATAAAAAATCATAAATTTCTCATAAAAGAATCATAAAATATTCACAAATTTTTCACAAAACACAATGTGTTTTAAGATTTTTCGGAATTTTAAAGGTTCCGGGGGTGCCCTCCCCGAGACCCACCCCCAGGACCCTCCAAAAATCATTCAAAAATCACAAATTTTTCATAACAACCATGATTTTTTCATAAATAATCATAAAATAATCATAATTTTGTTCATAAAACACAAGGTTTTTTTTAACGATTTTTTCAGAATTTCAACGGTTTTGGGTGCCCCTTCCCAGAGAGCCCCCAAAGACCCACGCCATCCCCCAAAATCATAAACAAATCATAAAATACTCGTAAAACAGGAAAACCCGAAATTATAAAATAATCATAAAACATTCATAAAAATAATGTTTGGGACCTCACATCTCCGTAATAGAATCCGTAATCATAACTTTCGGGGGTCTGAGTGACCCATGAAAGTAGGAGTGGGTGTACGGACTCTAAACTGGAGACACCCCGTTTTGTTACGCCAAGTTTGGCCAGCACGGCCTGTAAACTGGAGACACCCCATTTTGTTACGCCAAGTTGGGCCTGTACGGCCTGTAAACTGGAAACACCCCATTTTGTTACGCCAAGTTTGGCCTGTACGGCCTGTAAACTGGAGACACCCCATTTTGTTACGCCAAGTTTGGCCTGTACGGCCTGTAAACTGGAGACACCCCATTTTGTTACGCCACGTTTGGCCTGTACGGACTCTAAACTGGAGACACCCCGTTTTGTTACGCCAAGTTTGGCCTGTACGGACTCTAAACTGGAGACACCCCATTTTGTTGCGCCAAGTTTGGCCTCGATTTTTGGGTAACAAATGAAATGGACCTTGCCCACGAAAATTATGACCTTGCCCAGGAAAATTCTGACATTGCCCTTGAAAATTGTGACTATATAAGGTAAGAGAGGTTCAGGGCTAGGGGCAAGGGGTTGAGGATGTTAGGGCTTTTGGGCTTCAGGGTCAGGAGCATTAAGGTTCTGCGTTCTCAGGATTCTGGACTCATGCACTCCTAAACCGCCCCCCCAGCCCTGCACCCTAAACCCTAAACTCTAAACTCTACGAGCCCTTAACCCTACATCCAGAGCACTTTATACTTTAGTTCCTGCACCAGGTGTTGACCTCCGCGCAGCTGCGCCAGGTGCGCCGCGCTTTGCGCACGTGTTGGATTTACGTCATTTGTTGCGGAGGCTGCCGTTTTGAGTGTGGAGGGCCAGGAATTGCAGACCTTGAGCCTGAAGGCTCTTCCGGTTGAGCGGGCGTCCATTTCCTCTATCGTGGCTGCCGTGCATGCCAGGATGCCTTTTCGGCTGTTTCCGACAGAGCCTTCACCGCACAGTGCGCAGTTCCGGTGGTGCTCGGGGCTTCTTGGTGCCCTTGGCATGCGCGAGGATTGCAAGTGCCCGATTTGACTCCGTACAAGGACTGCGAGGGCTGGGAATTTGGCCGTTGATTCGTGCAGCCAATCATGCAGGAGGAGCTGAGAATCATCTTCCGCGATCTGGCGCTCCAAGACTGCCGTCGAGAGGGCCCAAATCCCAACCAACAGTTCGGACAAGTCTTCGGATGTCGAGCTTTGCGGCGCAAGGGTTGACACTTTCAGGGTTTGGGGTCCGGGGGTTTAGGGTGTAGGCGTTATTGGCCTTGTGTCTTAGATTTGCGGCTGTGGATTCTAGGGGGACTATACCCCAAGAATACAAATTTAATAAGCTATCAATCTCCTTCAGCTTCCTTACACTTTGGATCCTAAGCTGGTACTTGACATGTTCGCTTTAGTTCGAGCAGCCCCCAAACCTCTTGAAGGCTCAGACCGTAATGTAGACTTGTCAATCATAAATAACCGTCTCGCCCCCTCACAGCCTATTTCATGATCGCAGTACGTTAAATATGATCCAAAACCCTGGTTTGCTGAAGAAGTAGGCCCCTACATTGCAATCCTTATTATATACACATTCAAATCATCCGTTTCTCGTACATTTGATGCTTCATAGTTCTAGTACTATGTAGGCATAAACAAAAAATGGGTGTTATGGCCAATATTAATATATATATATATACACACATGTAGCTATTGCCCTAAACCCGAAACCTAAACCCAAACATCCCAAAACATTCCCGTAGTGGTGCCGTTGCTTGGAAGGGTTTAGGGCTTAGGGTTCAGGGGGTTTGTTTTGGAGGTTCCGATAGGGTCTTGGGGGTTTGGGGCTTAGTCTTTAGGAGTTAGGGTTTAGGATTTTGGGGCCTGGGGCTTACCCCTAAACCCTAAAGCCCTAAGGATCTAGTATTTCGGGTTTTAGCCTGGTTGAGAGTCTGGGTTCAAGGTCTCAAGGTTTCCTGTAGACCCCATGCCCGAAACTCCAGCCTCCCTAAATCCTAGCCCTGACGCCTTTAGGGTGTAGGGCTTTAAGGTTTTGCAAGGTTTAGGATTTAGGGGGACACTCCATTCCCAGGCCATCCACCCTAAACCCTAAACACCCTAAACCCTAAACCCCCCAAACACCCTAAACCTTAAACCCCCTAAACACCCTAAACCTTAAACCTCCTAAACACCCTAAACCCTAAACCCCCTAAACACCCTAAAGCCTAAACACCCGAAACCCCCTAAACACCCGACATTTTCAGAAGCCCATGGTCCCAAATTCCATTTTCTCAGGCATCCATGTCGGCTCTGACCGAAGGGGCCAGCACGTCTACCCAGCAAGGAGGGTGGCTGCCCCTTGTCCCGTCAAAACAGGTTAAGGTTTAGGGTTTAGGGAATCTACATGAACTATATTCTAAACTCCTTAAAGCGGGGGATTATATAGGGGAGTAGTATAGGGGTTATATAAAGGGGATACTAGGAGTTTAGACTATAGCTCACATGGATAGGAAGAAACAGAGGACTATGCCCGAAGGATCCATGTAGCTATATAGTATATACCCGGGCCCTAAAGTAGTTGCATGGGAGTTCCTTTGGGCTTTAAGTATAATATACGCTACATACGTATATTCATATATACATACCTGGACCGTTTGGGATAGTGGTGCTGTATAGGGATTCTATCGCAGACAAGCTTTGAGGCTCTGCGTTTCGAGCCAGGTGTGGGGCCATATAGATTTTTGCTGGAAGGACTGACCAGCCCTAGTCCCCAAATAAAATAGGCATCAAGAAACTGGGGAACGTGGACCCCAAAGGTATGTTGGCTTCGGGTTTTTGGCCTTGACTTTACCTACTCTCGGGGTCCTGGGAGGGGTCTAGGTAGTAACACCGCTTGCCATTTTTTGGTCCTTCGGGGTCTTGCTAAACATGTGTGCGCCTTCAGGAGCTTTGTGGCCTCATCTATGGGTTCTGGAAGAAGCGTGGATTTTTAGCCAAATCCTCAACCCTGGGTTCATGGGCAGCTTGCTATTTAAAGTTGAGGTTGAGGCTCTTGGTTGAGTGTAGGCTGATGAACCCTGAACACCAACTTGCGCCTTTGAATCCGATATGTTCCTTACCTAGGCAGCTTCCCTTCAATCCTAAAAACCCCACACCGTAGATCCTAGACCCCATTTCCTAAACCCCAAACCCTACCAGTACTCCTTGTGTGCACTCCGCCATCTGAAGTGTATCTCAGGCCCCTTCAGTAGATAAAACAATGGCCCAAAACCAAAACCCATAGAACAGGAGTTAGGGTTTATAGTCCCCCTTAAGTAGATAGAATATGGGTATATGGGGATCTTATTATAATATACCCAAAGCCCTATTCTATCTACCTAAGGGGGACTATAGGGTTTTTCTACATACGCTTCGACGCTTGGATTCAGGTAGGTTATACACAACCGGAAATGGCCGGGTCTCGAAACGCACACATGCATATGTGTACATACATCTATACAGACAGCTATTATTGTGTGATTTGTTTATTTGTTGCATGTGTCTATACGAAGACGCAGATTTGTGTGTGTGTGTATACATATATATATATGCAAGAATACGTAAGCATGTACATGTCTCAACCCTCCTTGCTTAGAATGCTAAACCCTTAACAACCCTAAACCCTAAACCTTAAAACCCTGAACCCTAAACCCATAAGGTTGGGGTTCATCCTCCAAAGCCCTCAGCCCTAAACCCTGGAGGATCTTGGTACCAAGACCCTAAACCCTGATCAACCCCTAACAACCTTAAACCCTCAACCCCAAACCCTCAACCCTGGTACCAAGGCGTGCTTTAGAGATCCAGGGGGCCATGCTTCTGGTGCGCCTTCGGCCGGGCCTTGGCAGCTTCAACTCGGCGCTGCTTGGCGTTTAAGGTTCAAGTTTAGGATTTTAGGGTTTAGGGCTTAGGGTTTAGGGCTTAGGGTTTAGGGTTTATAGGGCTTAGGCTTTAGGGTTTAGAGTTGTACGTTTAGGGTTTAAAGTTTAAAGCCTAGAGTTTAAACCCTCCTCAAAGGCGCCTTCGGGGTTATTGGGTTTGCAAAAAGTTCAGGGATTCAGGGTTTAGGGTGTAGGTTATTTATCAGGTTGGTACTTACATTGTAAAGCCCCAACTACTGTTATATGGGCAGTATTTGAGCCTTACAGTGCAGAACCTACGGTAACTGGCTACATTGAAGTGTTCCTGGTAAGCAGCATGCCCCCCAAGCCCTTTACCCACCCTGAACGATAATAGGTCTTAGGGTTTTAGGGTTTAGGGTTTAGACCCAGCCTAACAACTTCTGACAACCGGGTTGTTGTAGAAATTATAGACCCTCCACCTACCCTCAGGGGCATAAGTACCCTACTATGAGGGCCCCTTTAACCCTGAACGAGGGTACTAGGAGGATCTCGGCATACCTGACCCGAAGATCGACCCAATATAGATTGGCAATGACAATGCTCAAAAAAGGATTTCAACACCATTCAGAGCTAGCAAGAGGGTTTGGGTAACCGCAACCACCATATGGAACCCATCAGGATAATCTTACCATAGCAGCGCCCATAAGTTGTTCAATGGTATTTTTCCATTAATAGAGGGACCCCTGTATGGACCCCCAAATACTATAATCCTTCTTGGGGGCTCCCCCAAACTGGCACCCCAACTTTCGGAAACCCCCCAGATCCGCTTATCAACGCGGTTTAGGCTTTACCTGAACCCCAAAAGTATGTAAAATAATCGCCCTACACTTCTAAATATAGCCCAAAAGGCCATTATCCTACATACTTTGGGGGTCCAGGTAGGGTTGAGGGTTTAGGGATGCGAGGCTTCGCGCCTGCCAGCGCGACAGCGCCTGGCATGGTGGTGTTGCTGCGCATCTCGGTGGAGCTGGAATCCTTGAAGACGTTCAATAGGTAATAGGGTTATATTGGGCTTATATTAGGGTTATATTAGGGTTATCTTGGGGTTATATTGGGGTGATATTAGTTCCTTAAGGGTCCAAGGACCCAAATAGAAAGGTTGTAGGGCCAAAATACTATAGCATTAATGGTATTTGGGCCCCCAAACCATATTATTTGGGTCCTTGGACCCTTAGGGTTTTTTCCTTGGGTAAACGGGGCTCGACTGGGACTTATAGAATGAGTAGGTATCATCAAATTGAATAGGTTCATATAGGGCCAGGATCTCAATGGACCCTAAACCCTAAACCTTGGGTCACCTGCCTATAGAAGCGCGGATGGTAAGTCACTGGTAGGTTCCACCCAGTCCCAAACTAACATGGGCCTTGCATGGCCTTAAGCCCTAAACCCTCAACCTCTTAAAAGCGCAGAAGTCCTTCCAGGGACCCTGTTGGGCTTGCATGTTAGATGAGGGTGAGTACGCGCTAAGCTCTAAACACAAGGATTTTCATGGGTTTCCCTACGACCCCCTCCCTCTACTACCCCCTAGGTTCCCCTCTTAATGCAGGTCATCCAGGAGAATTAGCTATGTAAGGTGAATTAAGGGTGGACCCAGGGCGGGCCGTATAGGGTGGATAGCAGAGCAACCCCTGAGCTCTGTGCCCCTACCTGGAACCTCCAAGGTAGCTTTTTTTTGTTTATAACCGTTTCTTAGTCAGACAGGTTTATGGTGTAGAGCCCAGGGTGTTTATTGTAGCCTCTTAGTCAGATTCCTTTCAAGGAAAGTTGTTCTAAGGGGGAACTGCCCAAGGTATGTTGCTTGTTTTACCGTGTTTTCCGGTTTGGTTTCTTAGGCGGGCTCAAGAAGCCCGTCCATTTACAGGAGCTTCACATCAGCTATAGTCTAAACTAGTTTGGGGGGTGGATATGGCTTTGGGTTATGTAGCACAGGTTTGGGGTACAGTATATACCTGTGTAATCGGAATAGGCTCGGGCTAGGGCTTTGGAGAACCTTCTTGACATGTATCATAATGAGTTGTTACTCAACTCTTTCTACCCTGAACACTGAACCCTAAACCGCGTCAGACCCTCCACCTAGGTCTCAAAGGTCTTGCAGAGCTTTTAGAAAAACTTAAAGCCTCAAAGACTTGTGGGCCCTAAGCGTCCAAGTACATCAATTTCCTACATTTCCTCAATACCTATATTGCAATTGCAATGCCCACTGGTACTTGGAACTTGAGGGGGAGACATGGTACAACAGAGGATACGTTTGGTGGAGTTTTTAGGTTTAATGAGAGTGCCCCTCCAACAAAGCGTCGTGCTTGGTCCACACTTGGAAACATTACGGACTCCGATCTGTAGTGTGCATTTGTGCTCCATGGGTCTGTGCCAAAGAAGGTCTAGTCTCGTATACTTCCCCTACGGGTCCAAGTATTCAGTAATCATATACTTACCCCAAACCTGTACTATAATTACTATTACCAAGCCCTAAGTACCCAAATATTGGGTACATGGACCCTAAACCCTACTCCCTAAAACCCATATACCCCTATACACCCCTATATATCCCCATTAAAGGGGGCCCAATTTTTGGGTACATGGACCCTTAGGGTAACTCCATCTGTAGAAGGTGCGCCCTGACCAATGATCCGTCCCATCTTAAAGTCTGCACTGAGATGAGTAGTATTTTATTTGGGATACTATGGTACCCAATATAGAGTAAGATTGCATCCTCCTTTGGGGGTATAGCATTTTATATAAGGAATATCATCTCACTAGGTTCAACCACCAAAAAAACGCTACTCAGATGTGGTTCCTGTCTGTGAGCCCCCGTGTGAAGTCTTCCCCTAGTTTGGGAACCCTAAGGGTCCATGTACCCAATATTTGGGTACTTAGGGCTTTGGTAATAGTAATTATAGTGTAGGTTTGGGGTAAGTATATGATTATTGAATACTTGAACCCTTAGGGTTAGTGTCTATGATGAACGATTTACAAATCGCTGCTCATGTTTTGCTAAGCCACATACAACGAAGCCAAATCATATCTAAATAACCCCTATAAGAGTAGTTTCCATTTCAGTTTTCATTATCCCAATATAACCTCTATAGCTACTTAGGTCCCAAGGTATACGGCACCTACCATCATGCATGACTTCTTGGAGCCCTATGATGTAAATCTTATCACAGGCTTTCTCAGATGGGGCGCTTTCGCATCTCCCCAGACGAGGCAGGGTGAGTCGGCCTGCTAGCATGTCAAAGGGACAATGAAGGTTCTTTTGAGTAGTGTTTTATTTGGGGATACTATGGTACCCAATATAGAGTAAGACTATATCCTCCCTTTGGGGTATAGTATCTTATATAAGAAAAAAAATCTTAGCCGGTTCAACCACCAAAAAGACGCTACTCTTTGGAGCATGTTGCTATGACTGGATGTCTGGTAGCAGTGTCCGCTATTTAGAAATTAGGTACCCTTAAAACAGGGGCTAGGGCATAAGGGTCTAGGTCGTGTATTTCTCACACTTCAGGTCGCTTATGGTCACTTATTAAGTTTCAAGGGAAGACCTACACCCTAAAACCTAACCATAAACTCTTAACCCATAAGCCAGAACCCTAAACCCTAAACCCTAAACAAGAACTTTCAACCCTAAACCGTGTCAAGGAAATACCCATTATCCCAGGACAATCTCCGAGGATAAGGACCAGCAAACGGGGCATAATGCTTTGAGAAGTTCTCAGATGGGATGGCAAGGTTTCAGGCCGTTTAGGGTTTAGGGTTTAGTGTTTAGGGTTGAGTGATTTGGAGATTAGGGTCGAGGCCTGACGTTCAAGAACCCTAAGCCCTGGTTGTTGTTAAGTTACCATGATATAAGTATCTCGTAAATACTAGGGTTTTTTCTTTTTGAGTAACTTCGTTTAAGGTTCTTAATAGCAACCCAATAAACGTTGATTGCCTGGTGGAGAGGATGGGCAGCCGGTGCTCGTCGGACCATCCTTTCCACATGATAAGACCTGTAATCCTAAACCCTCTCATCGCCTAGAGCAGCATGTTTGAGCAGATCAGCCAGATCAATCTGCTGCATGACAGACTTCTTGCTGTGCCCATGATTCTAGACACGTTGATTCCATCACAATTCAATTATAGCTGGTTTGTAGCCCAGGTATGACTGGTTTAATGATTACCCGGAGCCTCCAAGTATTGTCCATCTTCTGCGCTTCTCAGGTTCCCCCTTCATTCGGGTTCCCTTGGAACAGTTAGTTTTAAACCCTCTGAGGGGCACCGTGTAGCAGGTTTTGCAGGGAAGCCGATGAACGAGTCCACGTAACCAACATTTGGGCTGCAGGCAAACGATTCACGTGGCATTTGTGGCCTCATTCTTTGGGTACCGTTAGCCCAAAACCCTATATGGCCCTATAACCCCCTTTTACACGAACAGTTGGGCGTTTCGGGCCCAAAACAGCCCAAAGCCTGCATCATTTGGGAACCTCGACCCTCCTATACTTTTATGCCCAAAGTGTGGCATGTGCATCGCAAGAGCTGCCTGACATAAGATGTTCACGCTTCCTTCCGGAGAGTATTATGGCTTAGGAGTTCAGGGTTTAGGGTTCGGGAAAACGGTGCCAAAGATCAGCGATGGCCTTTTTTGCAATTGCAAATCACGAAATTCATCCTGTAATTGAACCACTTGGCCTTTCAGATCTTACTTGAGATTCACAGGAGCAACTGTAAACGCACAGCCTGTTGTCCACCTACAGCACTTCAGCCTAAACCCTAATTCCGATGCCATAAATCCTAGGCCCAAAGGCCTCCTTCACCCTCAGCCCTACTTGATTGTAGGATCATAGGACGTAGTAACCACTTGTAACTCAGAGATCCCTTTCCTTGTCGTCCTCCTGATTGGCCTTATATGCTAGAAGTCAGACCGTTCTATATTTATAGTTATAATTATGTACCAAATCCAATGAATCTCCAGAATCTCATTCTTTTCCAACCCTAAACCCTAAACCCTAATTCGGTTCTTCACTTTCGCGCCTTCAACTCGCCCATTGAACCGCACAGGTGGGATGCGCAGCGGTGCTTCGTGGGTGCCAGCAGGAACAAGCCTACGCACCCCTACGCAGGCAGCAGTGGGGGTGGACCCTTAGGGCTCAGAGGTTTAGGGTTTAGGGGTCGAGGAGGTTGCCTAAGCCCTAAACCCTAGAGTTTGGGCTTGAAGGATTGAGTCGCTGGGGTAGACATGGTTCTGTTTAAGTATGTGTTACCCTAAACTAGGCAAAGTAATTCTATTACCCAAAAGGCGTAAATACAGCCCACAAGGCCATTGTGCTACACACTTCGGTTGCCCACCTAAACCCTAAACCCTAAACCCTAAACCCTAAACCCTAGGTCTTCTCTGGAGTTTGGGGGCATTCCGGGCTTCAGGAATCTAATCGTTGTATTCCTGTTTAGGGTTTAGGGTTTAGGGTGCAAAGCGAGACCCCAAAACTCTTGAACTCCTGAACTCATAAATCTAATGGTGCTAAAGGTGGAGTATGGAAGGGAATATAGGTGCAGCGGAGGATGAAAAAGTGACTATCCCATGGATCCACTCTCCCACTCCTCCTTTAGTACTAATACCTTCAGGGTCCAGGGCCTTATATATCTAAAAAACCGTTCAGGTCATAGTATTTGGGACCTAAGACCCCATTAGTTGGGGTATTTGTACCCTCAGGGGTAAAAAAAGTAAATGGCGGTAAAGCGGATTAATTCCTTCGTCTTCAACGTAGTTATTTGTAATAGTGAGTATTTTCCGGAAGTCTAGGTGCACAGCAGTAGGAAGGTGGCCGTCTCTCCCAGCAGCAGACGGCACATAAGAACCATTGTAGGAACGAAGGTGCATAGTAACTGGCTGTTTTGTTTTCAGGAAGCTTCACTAGTAACATTTCTCATAGTGACATTGCAAATTAGCCTTGATGGTGATGTTGGTGTTCCTAGACTCAAAGCCTGAGATTAAAACCACCCAAAACTCCAGACCTCAATCCCCCCCAACTGCAGACCCTGAGCCCCAAAAACTCTGTTCCCAAACTCTCCCCAAATTCTAAGGCCTAATAAACCCCGAACCCCACATTCCCGACTTCTGGGCTCTGTTGCATAGTCTTTTTAGGGGGGCATCGTTTCACCTACGTTTGAGGTCCATGTAGTGGCAACGATCAAACATCCTGTACAGAATGCCCAACACGGCCTTGTTTCGGGGGAGTGGCGTAAGCAGAAGTGGTATTCAAACGCCATAGACAAACTAGACAGCCTTTGCGCCCTCAGTGCACTTCCATAGCTTCCGGCTCTTGCTTCAGTGTCCTTATACGAGCTATACTCTAAACTTCTTGAATAGTAGAGGGGTTATTTCGAGGGATACCAGGAGTTTACGTAGACTATAGCTCATGTGGTTTGCATCACCTGTGCGTGTGCAGAGTTGAGAGGTTCCCACAGCAGAGGTTCCAGCCTAATTGTTGCAAAGGTTGTCGCGTGACTTTAGTGGAGGGTTCTCGTTTTTACATAGCAATTCGCTTGTTGGGCGGGCCTGTATGGAGAGATGAGCAGTATCGCGGAAAGCGCCAGATGGTCGTGAAGGTTTCCGTGGAATCCTCAATGCCTAATTACATCCCCAACCCCTCAGACTTGATCCCCGTAAAACCTGACCCCATAGTCACTAAAGTTTACTTACACTAAAACCCTCAACCCTGAAACCCTAAACTCACTAAACTCTAAAACCTCAAGCCCTAGACCCTCAATTTAACCTTGAAGTCTACACTCTCGCAGCCTTCATCTGAAAGCCATAAACACTAAGCCCAGTAAAACTACTTCCGTGAAGGGTGGTAAGGGGGGTGTAGTAACGTATAGTGTCCCAAAACAACCCAACTAATAGCTTGTGAGCTTGTAATCTATCCATTGACCCTGTGACATCTTACAGCGGGGCTCCTAGATTTCTGAACCCTGACCGTCCTGAATCTCGGAGGCTACTGGATGACATCTCGTGCGGTCTGCTGGAGGAAGCGGGTCGAAAATCTGCGGTTGTTGCCAAGGGTCCAATTATCCAAATACTAGAGGGAACCCTAAGTCCTAAACCTCCCAAACCCTAAACCCAAAACTCTAAATCCTACACCCTAGATCTTAAACCCTAAATCTGTATCACAAGGCATTCAGATGTTTATCACCTGGAGCCCATGATCTGGATACATACTTGGACCCTTTCCGGCTTCACCAGGGAGGGAGGGCAGCCGTGCAAGCAGCATGCATTGGGTACTGCCCCCGTGCATTAACAGTTGGACAAGCTTAATAATAATAGAACCCTACATAGCTTAGGTGGACCCTCCACCCTGTACTGGTGACTACAAGGGATGATAGTGGGTAAATGAGTGCCCTCTTATATTCTCATTACACCCCTATTACGGGGGGAGTTTTCCAAATACATAGCCTTTCATATGACCCCTACTATAGATTGTGTATTGGGGGGGGAGCACGACTGAAAGCATGCTGATGTCTTTTGAATTGAAGTTAGCAGAGGCAACCGGGTGCGCTTTAGTTCTTTCCTCCCAAATCCTTATGCAGATCACGCAGAACAATAAGCAATAAACCCTAGCCCTAAGCCCTTAGCCCTAAATCCCAAACCCTAAATCCTTAGGCCCCTAAGCACTTACATCAAGGATCCCCCATCGATTCATCCCCAAAAACCCTACGCTCAGTTTTGCGGAAGTAAGAAACTGTAAAACTGGCCGTTGGTTAGCTAGGAAAGAAGGAATGGAGCCTTATAGTAGTCCCTGTAGAACCCATCATCGCAGTTTTTATTTTCGTTTCCATTCCTTACTTCCCACCCTAAACCCTAAGCCCTAAATGGCCCGGAGCCCTAAACCTTAAATAGCCTTAAACCCTAAACCCTATATAGTAGGTTTCTGTTTTTCTGTTCCATTCCTTCATTCCCAGCTAACCCAAAGTCCGGGGGTTTAGGGGTTCAGGGTTTAGGGTTTAAGAGCTAGGGGGTTAGGGGGTTAATTTGTTTAGGGGTTTTAGGGGTGTAGGATTGAGGGTTCAGAGTGCAATGCGTAGAAGGTGTGCAGAATAGAACGCAAAGATTTTTTCTCCGATAAGGTACCCCTGCTTTCGGGAAACTCCCATGTCCTAAACAATCAGCATTCTGCTGGTCAGGCGGATATAAAGGGGACCCTTTGCTTGGACGTCTTTATGTTGTTATGCCGCTATTTGGTTGACACGGGGCTTGCCCTAAGCCACCGTTCCTCAAAAGGGTAAAACATTTAATTAGGGATCTTTATTGCAATAGGAACCCCAATACAAGGACCTGTACTGGACTACACCAATCCCGGTATGAGGCATCTGAAAACTATCCTTCACGGGTTTCATCAGCACCCGACACGCAGGCATGGTTCGCAAGCTGTGAAGGCAAATCAGGTTTGGATTTAGGCCTGCATCCTGGGTAATTCCCTGTAGCAGCCCAAATATATTCACGGACTAGATACAGTTTGTGGAGTAAACCAGACCTGCATGCTCCTTCTTCACCTCGTTTGGAGTAGCTGTTCACGGAGGAAATTCTGCACCATCTTATGCGCTCCAAACCCTGGGAAGTACAGTACAGTAGTATACAAATGTTGGATGCCCTAAACCCTAAGCCCTGAACCCTGAACCGCATTAGTATACAATTCTTTGGGTGGTGCAGGGGTTCCTCTATAAACAGTATGACTTCCCAAGCCCAGTTGAGTATGGAAAGTTGCCCAAGATGAGGGGTAATTTTCTGTGGTACCTAAGATGAGGGTTTGAGGATATGGCGGTCTATAAAGGAGTCTGGGTATCTGTGGACACTACCATTTGGTGCAAGGTAATGTAATGCAGTGTAATTAAGCGCAATGTAATGTAATTTAATGTATACGCAGAAAGCATGTTTCAGCGTGACCTAACACCCATTGCATACATGCTGCAGAGTGTCTCGCACATGCAAGTCCCCCGAAAACTGGAGGATCCAGCACTCGTCTGTTTTGCATGAGGCTGAGGGATGCAATTCGCTAGGTGATGTAAACCTTCAACATATACCAGGGGATCCGGTCGAATTGCCCTCCAGCTCAATGTGTTCCTGCAGCTTAAGCCCACAATAATCCCTATATAACATATATGCCCTTCAAATGGTACCTATATTCACGCCCCCACTGCCCCTTAAGCACCAGTCGGTTTAGATTGCATTTTGCACGGCCTCTTCAGCCAATGCACGTTCCGAACATGTTAGTAGGAGCTGCAGCATAAAATGCATTCGACCCTGAGAAGACAAGGACCTGAAAGAGGGGTCTAGGGAGTTAAAGGTTTAGGGTTGAGCGTTAAGGGGGGAACCCAAAGACACCTACATGACCTCAAAGTGAGGAACCACAAAGACCCGAAACTTGAACCCTAGCCTTTTTGGCTCGTTCTGGGGGGGCTTTGGGCCATGACTTAACTTAGTTTGAGGTCTACCTGATAACCCCTATATAACCCCAATACTCCCTATAATCCCTATAATCTCTATAATCCCTAGAACCCCTATAGAGAAACCCTAACCCAAACTTCGACCTTCCCTGGCACGCTGGTAGAAATTGCAAAAATGTCAGCCGGTTCGTAGAAAATGTGAACAACACAAGCTAAACACATGTCCAGGGTACATCTAAACCCTAAACCCT